ATTTGTGTATATGCGCATACCTATGTGTATATGAATACCTCTAGACATGTATTCATGCACATGTTTACTCCGCTACTTATTCTCTCCATCTCAATTCGACCTGTCCAGTGCTATAGGCGTAGACACACAGCCCACACCCACTCCGGCCGCCGAGATATCAGACGAACAGTTGAGTGTATTCCTGCAGCAACATCTGCTAGCGATCTTAACCTGGCTCAACGGACAACTGCTCAGTGGGGCTGTAGTTTCACGCACACGAACAATGACGGCCTTCGCACGCCTGCTAGCACTTATTGACGGGAAGTATCTGTACATGGTCAGGTGTGTGCTTGGCGACGATGTGGATAGATGACTATATGCATACATATATGTACGTGTAATTATTAAATTGTGGCAAGTATACATACGTATGTAAGTGTTCTTATCTTGTGGGAAATACACATGCTTGTGTAGGGGAAGATTATCTTTGTTGTCATGCATCTCCCTTATCCTGGGAAGTGACAAATGGACAACTAAACATAGTACTGCAGTAACATCCAATGATTAGTTCACATTGGGTCAACCGGCAACTAGCAAGTGGTTCTGTGTTAATACGTACACGTACAGTGGTAGTCTTCTTCCAGCTATTACACATCGCCGGGACGTATGTGTACATGGTCAGGTGTGTGTATAGTGGGTATGGATGCATATCAATATACCTACATGTGTATGTGTATTTTGCGTGTATAGACAGTAAGGATATATGTAGATACACCTACATTTGTAATTGTATTTATGTGTGTGTAGCCGGTAAAAATGTATGTAAATATATTTACTTGTGTAAGTGTACTATGTGTGCGTAGACGGTAAGCATATATGTACATATACCTACATGTGTAAGTGTATTATGTGTGTGAATGCACTATACCACTAGAGTGCCCGTCAATGCGCGTATACTACTTCCCCAGACTTTGCAGATGAGTGACGGATGAGTGGTTGAGTGTATTAGCCTATTTACAAGTCAGAATTGGCTCGGGTTTAGTACACGTTCCGAATTTTAATGCCAACATTAAACATGATCCTTATCAATTTGTATGGGGCGACTCTCCGTTTGAGGGTTTTAGGGCTTTGGCTTTTGGGAGCGGCCAATCACTATTACATACAAACGGGAGAAGGTGCAACAATGTTGTCGTCTAATGTTTAAGTATTTGTTTGTTGAAATACAATGATATCCTGGTTGATCTATACTGATCAGTGCGTTGTATATGTGTCACCACACACCATTCATTTGTAGAGGGAAAGCCGCTTAATATCAAGCTCTGATATTTTAATATCTTGCTCTGGTATCTTGATATCTTGCTCTGGTATCGTAATATCTTGCTCTGGTATCTTAATATCTTGCTCTGGTATCTCAATATCTTGCTCTGGTACCTAAATATCTTATTCTGGTATCTTAATATCTTGCTCTGGTATCTTAATATCTTGCTCTGGTATCTTAATATCTTGCTCTGGTATCTTAATATCTTGCTCTGGTATCTTAATATCTTGCTCTGGTATCTTAATATCTTGCTCTGGTATCTTAATATCTTACTCTGGTATCTTAATTTCCGTGCCACGGTACGAAGAGATTCTTATTCATCTACACCTCTACTACACATCGCGTTGTAAACCTCTGATCCAAGTTTATAACCCCGCTAAACCCATCTCATCTACTCCATCTGTGCAGGGGCAAAGTGTTAGGTCTGCTGCGGTTGGGGTTGAGTTCAGACGTACTGGTGGTGAGCACATTGGAGGCGTGGCGGGTTTTCCTCCGCAAGCTGTCGTTCGAACAGGTGAGATGGAATGCTGTGGCTGTGTGAGATCTATTTATATATTGACATGGGATGCTTTGGGTGGAAAAATATTGTTTGTGCATTGAGATGGAATGCTGTGGCTGTGTGAGTTCTATTCATAGAATAAGATGGAATGCTGCTAGTGTATGTGGGTTTATGTATCTATTTTTAGATTTATACGAATAAGGGTGGAAGTGTATTTTTGTTTTTGCTTTTTGGGGCGAGAGGTTGGGGTTCTATACAAAGACAAAGCTATACCACACCCCTACTTACACAAAGTTAATGCGTCAGCCGCAAGGAACTCACAACCCCACTCAAAGATATCTCCATACCACACCCATGCATTACGACAGGTACACGTCATTCTGAACGAGTCCGTGTTCATGCTGGTTAGTGTGCTGGAGGATCACGAGGACAGTGTGGCTGAGTTGCTGAACCTGCTGATATACGACGACGACAACACCAGCGAACCCGGCACACAACCCAACCCCTCACCCCACGTGCATGCACACACCACTGACACCGATACCAATCAGCATGAAGGACAGAGTCCCAAAAACGTGACCATAGACACCCGTGAGAGGGCCGCTCATAGTAGAGATGCACTGTATGTGCAGTTGTATATTCTACCGCAGCATCCAGCACTGGAGCGGTGTCGGGGTGTGGTCGAGAGAGCCATTGCGAGGCTCTCCTTCGAGGACTTTCTGGTGCAGGTGTGTGCGTATGTCTAAGCACATGTGTGATTTTTTTTGTTACGCTGATGTGTTCCTATTTTACTGTATGTATGTATATATATGTGTGTGTGAAAGATTCTTTGAGGACTTTCTAATGCAGGTGTGTGCGTATACCGGAGCACGTGTGTGTTAATACATTGTATACACGTGTTACTGTTGCGCTAGAGTATATATATATATGTGTGTGTGTGTATGTTCCGGTGTTGTGTACATGTTTAGATTTTGTGTATATTCAGTCTGTGTCCGCTTGTGTTTTGCTCTATACGTAGCTGTATATCCTGCTATAGCACTAATATATATATATATATATTTATATACATATATGTGTGTATATATATACATATATATATATATATATATGTGTGTGTGTGTGTGTGTATATATGTATGTGAGTGTGTGTGTGTGTATATATGTATGTGAGTGTGTGTGTGTGTGTGTGTATACATGTATATATACAGCACTTACGACGAATGTATACATGTAACATATTGCCTATGATATGTATATATATATATATATATATATGTGTGTGTGTGTGTGTGTGTGTGTGTGTGTGTGTGTGTGTGTGTGTCTTATTT